AAGCCTTCGTCGTTGTAGGGGGGACTTCAGCGTTGGGCTACCGGCGAATGTGTCGTAGGGAGTTCCGGTCCCGGGGTTCACCATAGAAAGACGTGTTTCTTAGTTCGGCAGGCTTCCCTTTGAGGACTGGTGGTGTAGTGGTGCTGTCGTGTAGTGCTTTTGGTCTCGACATCCTAAACGGAGAGACACGTGTTGACTGTCCAGCAGATTTCCCCCGTAGTGGTGGTGCGCTGTTGATGATGGTGAGGGGGTGCTTGTGGCTCGTGCGAGTCACAGTTCCGCCGACCATCGGGAACTCGTCTGTGATATATATATATAGTCCAGTAGATCCTCCGTGAGCGGTCACAACGTGTTTATTTCGACGTTTCGGCCTAGAGTCTGGCCTTCATCAGGCCAGACTCTAGGCCTGATGAAGGCCTGATGAGCCTGATGAAGGATTCAGGCCTGATGAAGGCCTGAATTCTGATGAAGGCCAGACTTTAGGCCGAAACGTTGAAATAAACCACGTTGTGACCGCTCACGGAGGATCTACTGGACTATATGCAACGCTACGGCCACTCAACCACCGTGCCTGCCTATATATATATATATATATATATATATATATATATATATATATATATATATATATATATATATACGGCAAGTAATCTTTTCACCCACTTTTAATTCTTCTCATTTACATTACGATTGGCCTAATAACTTCTTTTATACCTTTCTTGGCATTATTTTCTGTTAGATTTCATTAATATTGCGTAAAACACGAAAAAACAAGCCCTCAAGTATATACTTGTTTTCTTTATTCAATAACGAGGGTCTCGTACTGGCAGAGTTGGTGCCCCTAGGTTGTGTATGGGGGAATATTGGTCAGCTGCCAGTTAGTAATAAGTTCACGTGCTACGTGACGACAAACAGGCTTATGAAGAGTGTACCACACTCGCCGCCATGGCTACTGGTGGCGCTGACTGACACTCCCACGTTTAAATTGACATAGATACCCAATAAAGTGGCTGGGGAGATAGCTGTCGTGGTAGCTCAGTGGTAGAGCATCTAACGCGTTATTCGAAGGTTGCAGGTTTGGATCCTGCCCACGCAAGTTATCTTTTCACCCACTATTCTTTCTTCTCATTTACATTACAATCGGCCTAAAAACTTTTCTATACCTTCCTTGGCATTATTGTCTGTAAGATCTTCATAATATTATGCAAAACACGAAAAGCTAGCCCTCAAGTATACACATGTTTTCCTTATATATATATATATATATATATATATATATATATATAATATTTGTATATAATTGTATATATATATGTATATATTTGTATATTTGATATATATATATGTATATATATTATATTGTATATATATGTATATAGTATATATATATATGTGTGTGTGTGTGTGTGTGTGTGTGTGTGTGCATGGAAATGACATCAACAAAGATAATTCAGAAATAACTTTTGACACGTGGAATCAAACGGGTGACCTCTCACTCCGCAGCGCTGGCGTGTGCCACTGAGCCATGAAAGCCCATGTGCTCCATCACTGGTACGGCGAGCTAATATTATACACAATTTACCGCTGGAGGTGTGCTGATCTCAGTAACGTATATCAGTTTTTTCTCAGTAAGGGTGCGCTGGGAGGCCCACTCGTGTATTGCCCTGCGGTACGTCGTCACCCATGGACACGCGCCGTGCTCTAATCGTGGTGAAGCATAACTGTAGGTCCGTGGCTTTCACCGAATCGATTGCGTTATTGTTCCAGGGCACACGAATGCCACTTTGCAGCAGTATTTGCGTTAGCGAAAAGAGCGTTCTTTTCGAACACAACGAAGTAATATCTGTCACAAATACTTTCGTATTTATCCTGCGCAAACATATGTGAGTGTGTTTCCTGCCTTCTTTGTGTTTCAGAAGTGCAATGAGTGTTGATCTGTGAACGTTGCGATGTCATGTCCACCCTGTGTCTCTTTTTGTGTATTACTCCTGTTGAAGGAACGGACTACACGTGTAGATGTGGTTCCTGTTCTTCGCTTGTCGATCAATTTTATTGCTACTCCACTGATGGCTTCGCCCTCACGGCGAAACTATGACTTCTGTTTTTTTCAATATATTTTTTGAAGAATGCTTTAATGCAGGCGTGTGCTGTAGTATGCTTCTGTTGACCAGACACACAAAATATATTTGACACTAATAGGGAGTTTCCAAATACCTTGCACTAGGTTAGCTTGCGTTACTGGCGTATAACGTTTGCATAAGGGCGCCACATACTTTTTTAATTGCTTTGTGTCCCGTCACGCACAATCTCCTTACGGTCTCTGCAAAGGGGTTGGCAGGCCGCACACAATTACTATTTATTCAGTGTGGAACACAAACGCTCACGTACGCTGGTTAGCGTTATGACGCAAACACTGTGGCAGTGACCGCAAAGGCTTCTAGCTTGTGCTCTCTTTTCTAAAGCTATATAATATCGACACCTACCTGCTCAGCATGCAATTTAAGAATAATTACCTGGCTATCTGTCTCCGACCAGCGGCGTTGCCAGAAATCCTTCAAACTGTTAGTGATACAGAGCTCATTACGCAGAAACTTTCGCATCGGTGTCGGTAGCGAGATCATTGATTTGGCTGAATAAAAGACGGCAATTCACATGAGGGAAATTCGCATAGTTGAAAATATTTATGATGAATCAATATCCTTGGTCCGAGTAAGAGAGGCACAAGATGATGCCAAACAGGCCCTTGCTCAACCACGGAGCCACATCGCTCTTTGAAACTTCTTTGTTAAAATCATTATGAGAACGTCATGTAGTCAGAAGAACCTCTCTGGGGCTCCTAATGGGGCTGAGAGAATGGCGTAACTGCACCAAACGTCATCAAGACATGTGAATCGCACGACGAGTCGGTGGTTTCAGACGTCAAGACGTAACGAAGTATGCATCTGCGTTATTGTGCGCGGCACCTTACGGACGTGTAGGGGTACTTCTTGAAAAGTCAAAATCGAGAATTACGACTCAGTGGGTACTTCGCAACTGTACCTGCAGTATGATTTCCAGGAACATTCAAAACAGCAAATGTTACCGCACAAATGCTCCTTTCCTAGTGGAAACGAGATGCACGTGGTGCCCGATCACGTAATCGTGTTGTATTCTTCAAAGCAAAACTCCAGTATCCTGCAATCTCTTACCGCGAAATATGTTGAGGTCACATTAAGGACCGTTCTTAGTGCCGTAGTTTTCCACCACCGCCACTGGCGTCCCTACCCGCGATCACATAAAACAAGAAGAAAAAATGACATAAAATTATCGAAGATAGAATGATGTTCAAGCCCGAGTCGTCTTCATGGCGACCTGGTATTCCACCACAGAGCCATGCCAGTGCTCGAAATTCCTTCACGAAAAAATTCCTATGCAGGCGTCATGTCGGGAAAAAACTACGTATACGTTAGCACATGTATTCTGCTCGTATGGTGGCAAAAGACTAAACAACAAGCACGCGTCACACACTGTGACATGTGTAAACAGGCGTCACACAATATGAATTGCGTTACGAGTGAGTCGTTGACTGCTTTGACTTCATTAAAAAAGGCTCAGTCATAAATCTTATATACCATCAGCCAACGCATCGCAAAAGTACCCTTGATACACCGTAAAAGGGCCCTCGATGCTGAGATGTGTAGCGGGCACCTCAATTCTCTATGTAATTACCTGAAGTGATTCAGTGGATGCTTCTTAAATTACAAAAAAAATCATTTTTGAAGCCATGTGTACCTTTCTAACGTACTTGTATATGTAGCCCAAGAGAATTCACAACGAGCTTCAGAAATTCCGGTCTTTCAGATAATGCGGTTATAGTTCAGCGCTTCCGATGTACGGTTTGCCTATTTTTAGATATTTGGTGCACCATCTCATAGCTTAGATACCAGGGTAGGCCGATTGTTGTCTGATATCGTTTCATGCTAGATGTTTACCTGTTACAAAGAAACGTCAAAGGGAAACATCCATGGTGTGCCACATGATACAGCACATAGAGAATACAAAACATGTTGGTGTACTACAAGGGTACACTGAAAAATGTCTTTAGATGTAGCTTGCTGAAGTTGGCGCCGCTTCGCAGAAAACACTATGTTACGGGTGCGCTTTCGTCGACCAGGTAATTCAGTAAAGACAAAAAGTATCGCTACATTGGTGGTCATTTATGTACCACCTGTTGGCACCATTGCGCGTTAAGAAGATTGCGCCACATGTCATGGTCCGAGGACGAAGGAGAACGTTAGATGGGGGCCAGCTCGTGAAAATTCGTAGATGTTTTAACTGGCCAAAATAAAATAGCCTTGCTCTAAGCACTGACACAATTTTGACGTATGTAATTCATAAAAACCATAGCGCTGCTATAGTAGCCTTGATCATCATTATCAGCCTGACTACGCCGAGTGCAGGACAAAGGCCTTTCTCATGTTCCACCAGTCAACTCGATTCTTTGTATGCTGCTGCTACTTTATAGCTGCGAACTTCCTAATCTTATATTCCCACCAAGTTTTCTGTCTCGCCCTCAACCGCTTGCTTTTTCTTGGAATCGAGTCAGTGACCCTTAAAGATCAGCTGTTAGGTTACGTGCTACATGCTCTAGCCAAGACCAATATGATTTCCAATATGATTTCTTTAGCCCCTATTTGTTTCTTGATACACTCTTTGTTCTTTGATACCCTTGTTCCCTGATACAGCTATAGTGTGCTTTCAATTGATTCCTGCATTTTTGGGTCCGGGCAGGCCCCCATTGGAACCTGAACTTGGTATCTTTGATAGTAATATTTGAAATGATTGTTGCTACAGCGGCAACATGCCTTGAGCAGGCAGTTATTTTATTAAAGGAGCAGGTACAGAGCACCACTTTGTCCCCCGACAGTGTTCATACTTCCGCTCACGTATGAGCGCAGGAAAGTTTATTTGAAATCTCATTCCCTGACTCTATGAAGACAGGACATTAGCGGAGCACTCACCGTCAAAAGTTTGCGAACACCGAAAAATGTGGGCCGACTAAATCGCAACTTTGCACGCTCAGCCATAAGCCGACTGACGTCCTCGTCCTCCATGCAGCCACCACGCAAGGCGTATGCCAGACCCTTGCGCAGAGGTCCGTCTCCTCGCATGCTGAATGTGTCCTGCAAACAATTATGATAGCCTATTAACACGTTTCTCGAAAGCAAAGAATTATCACTAGCTGAAATTTGCGTATATTCCATAACAAAAGCCATGTTTCGTGCTTGTTCTTGTAACGTAAAGCTCTCATGCGCTCTTTAGAGAAAACGATTGCATCACGTCTCCCTCACGGTGCATTGCAGCAGACTGTTAGATTTCCTGATAAAACTCTCTGGGCTACCGGGTGTAAGCTTTTTCGAAAGAATTTCCCTGCCAATACTATTGGTAAAGTGCAGGAATATCTGTTCGATTCGGCAGGGTACGTTCCGGCCGAGCAATTCGATGCGAGAACGTGACAGCTACACAGTGAACAATGCGAGTCTCTTCTTGTATATAAGTGTCGGATATCTAGCACTTTCTTTAGGGACGTAGTGGGAAGCACTAAAGAAAGTTGATGTAGGACTGTCTCATTGAGCGTCAATGTACCCCGCTAGAGAGAGTGCTACACATGTGATCCTCATATTCCAAGAATAAATTTTCTTTAAATGTGAGTATTTTCTTGTCGAAACAGACCCTTTACCCAACTGCCTACGCAGGGTACATGTTTACGTCTTTAATATCAGCTCACCAACAAGAATACATGTGCTTTGTTCGTTAAGCTGTAATATTTCGTCCTATGAGGCACGTTGATTCTTTCCAAGGCTGTCATTCTTGCGAAATTTCACCTAACACTTGCAGCGATCACACAAAACTTGCAACTTGCTGTGCAAAAAAGAAAAGAGACAACGTTAATTTGTTGTAAATACAAAACGCAGTGATTTCAGTTCAGACTTGCACATGTAAACCAGTTTAGATGATGTCAGGGACACACCCAAACAACCGTAACGTGCACGTTGTGTTTACCTGGTCACAGCATAAGTAAATATGAATAAGAATGTGCAAATAGAGAAATTTAGATAGCAATCAAATATAAATTTAATAGTAGGGACACCGAATCGAATACCAATAGAAAAGATTTGCGATAGTACATAGAGCACGTTTGAGGCATCTGTAAAATATTGATGTAACCATTGCTTAACTACTTCAAGATCTCACGATTCTTCATTCTATACTGTTCAATGATATTATTCATTGTATTTATCATTTGATTGCAATCTCAAGATATACAGTACACTACAGAGGGGAGGCAAAGTCATATATCTATTTATCAGGCTAATAATATGCAAAAATTTAATAGAACCTGACAAGCGGTATACAAATTTTCAGAGTAGGTACATTACAAGCATGTGAATTCATTGTACACACACTAAATATACCATGAAATTTCTTTTAGGAAAGCAACGAAAATTTCAGAAAGGCTTAACGTGGGTATATGGTTAGTTAAGAAAGCTTTTTAAGGTGTATGTGGTCTTGAATGCTTGTCTTAGAAGCGCGAGGCTGGTACTATTCTCTTTTGGGCAAAATTGCAGTGAATGGGTAATTGTTTCTAAAGCACTTGAACCTTCTGACGATGGTCTAGACGCAGTGATATAAAGATGGGACATGCCTGAACAGTGAAAACAGGTGTGGGCAATAATAGAAAGTTTCGCGATAAAACATAAACGAGAAGGTTTTCTGTGAACATCAAATAAAGGAAGTTGTAAGGATACTTATATATTGGTTACGCTGGATGTTCCATGATAATTACAAAAGATGAAATGGACGGAAACGTTCTGTATTGCGTGTGTGCTTTGGGTTACTGTACTGTGCTTAGTGTCCGACAACGTTGACTAACGCGCATTCATGCTGTGGGAGGACGTGTGTGGTGTATAGGAGTGTCTTAGCAGAAGACAGTATTGCGTGAAAGTTTATGCGAAGGCAATACAGAACACAGTTGGCTTCAGTTGTGATACGTTTGACGTGCTTATGCCGTGACAAGTTGTTGATTTCATGTGTACCCAAGTTATTTTATGATGTTACTTATTCTAATGGTTGGTTGTTTATGACGTAAGCTGCATCCACCACAATAGAAGGAGAAATTTGTAGAGCCTGGCAATTATGAATGTTTATTTCCATGAGACATTTACGGAGCCATTCAAGTACAGTGTTGAAATCATTCTTAAGAATGGCGAAGCGAGTGGTATTAGTTATTTTTTGTGTATTCGGTAATCAGGTGCAAACAAAGACGTAAGCATGTGCATAGGAGTGGGCAAGTCGTTTGTGTAAATTAACAACAATACATTCCGAGTACGAACCCTTGTAGCACACAGGACAAGACGTGTGCCGCAGGTGAAACGACGTCGTTTGTAGAAACAAAAGAAGTGTGGTCAGTCTTGAACGAATGAGTTTATTTATTTATTATAATTAGTTTATTTATTAGGGTCAATGTTAGTTATTCTTACTTTATAGAAAGTATCCAGTGGTTTGCTTTGACTAAAGTCTTAGGTAAGTCATAGACCAGACCGTCAGTCACTGTCAACATCAATGTGCAAATTGTTAGTGAACAGTAGCTACTGAGCATCACATGGAAAGCTTTTACGAAATCCACCCTCGAATGCAATAAAAATTGGTATCTTCAAGAAAACGTGCAAGGTGTGAGTATATGCCATGTTCCATCCTTTTGCATAATACTGATGTAAGTGATATAAGTCTATAAATATGCGGGTTTCATGTATCACCTGATTCACGGTTCGCAATGGCTTTTGTAGTTTTGCAATCTAGTGGTAGTTATCTCTTATTAAGCCGTTGAGTCAAAAAGCGCTCTAATATGGCACCAGAGTATTGCTTCTTGTTCATGAAATATTTCTAGTGTACTGCATCAACACAACAATATGAAAGCTTCAACTTTTTGATAATGACCCCAACACCAGCAGACTTAGGTGGAATGAATTCCATGAATGAGTGGGTATATTGACGACAGAGGGGACGATCATGAATTGATGCACGTGAAAAGGTATGTACGTTTGTGTCGCTGTTAAGTGTAGCTGCACTGCAGCCCTAAATATTGCAGTGATATTTTGTATTCACGTTTTTGGCTTAGAACTTTCCAAAATTTTTACGGGTTCGTTTTCAGTATTTTTGAAAGAGTGGCGTTCTAAAATGTAAATTTGTTAGTCTTCTGTACGGAGAATTATTGTGCGACAGCTTTTTTGTACAAGAACGATCGCTCCAGAGTGGTAACTTTCAGCTTTACGGTGTAGCCGCTTCTTATTGGGATTTAGTCGACTAAGTTGGGTATTAAATCAAGGAGCTGAAAGACTGCTGCTCTGACGTTGTAAAAAGTGTAACGCTCATTAGTTTCGAATATTCTGTCTTTATTGTGCTTCAGTTCGCTTCAGAAGTACGTTCGAGAGAGTGAGATACGAAATCTTTCATGAAAAAGAGCTGCTCGGCATTTATAGCTGTGCAGTTGCCTTTTTTAGAACTTCTCGTATGTCTTTTGAGATGTTGCGTCAGGAAGGTCACGCTGAAGTGTAAATCGTCGTAATTAGTTAAACTTGGTGGCTGTGTTTTTGATGTTGTTATTACCACGTCGAGAAGCGTTGAAGTGTGACGATTATAACTTGTTCGTAATCATAAAGCAACTACCTTGATAAGACCAAAATCTATCTAAACTAAGGCAGGTAAAATGTTCAGATTGTGTGCGAGAAGGGCTGTGGAGATAGCAATGCACATCACCATGCAGTTGTTGTGCGAGAAAATTAATTCAACCATTAGCGTCATTTACACCTGTGAGAAACGAACTTCAATTTGATTCAAACATTCATGCAGGGAATCGTAGAACAAATTTGGACAATTGGATGTACTGATAATCAGTTACTCGTGGTTCACATCAACACATCAATACTTCCATGTCTACAAAAAAAGCCACACGAAATGAATTTATATTTTTCTCTAATTGTAACGTGAAGAAGAAGATTCGTCTGCATCCAGCAGCATCACCAATGCTCGCCTCGCTGGACTCGGGGTTCTGATTGCTCCTGCGCCTCTGGACGGTTATTCACGCTGCCTAGCCGCTGACGCATATAACGTCCTCAGAAAACCTATAAACCGCTTCGCTTTTAGTGGATTGTGCTGTATATCTCTGACGCTACACCCTGGAGCTGCGACGCCGCGTACTTCCGCCCATCATGACTGCCATGGCCAACCTAATAGCGTCTTCACTCCAGTTCGTCACTTGCCCCGAGCATACTCCGCTGTGGGCCCGAAGGTCTTCTGCGCTGCACATGAAACCGACGTGGAAGACTGGCTCACCCAATACAAAGTGGTTTGCACGAATAAGTGGTACGATTTCGAGAAGCTTCTCCACGTCATATTTTATCTCACTGGCGTCGCCTTATTGTGATATAACAACCACAAACACCACATTTCTACAAAGATCGTCTCGAGACGTCATCCTCAGGAGATTTAGGTTGACTGGCTGTCCGCAGGCAGCGCTCAGAATAGTGCTTGCGGCGGATGCGCTCACAGCAGACGGCAGAAAGCTTCACAAGCTAGATCAAGGACGTCGTCAACCTTTGGACACGTGCCAACGAAACCATGTCTGAAGCTTACAAGATCAAGCAAATCCTCAAGGGCATAGACGACAGCGCATTCCAAATGCTCTTGGCTAGAAACACTACCACCGTTTAAGAAGTCATTTGTTTTAGAGCTACGACGAATTGAAGAAGCAATACGCTCTTACTCGGCACTCTCCACGGGCTGGAAAGTCACTGTACAGCCTTGAAGTTTGGCGTGACTATTCCACATTGTTTCAGCACGCTCAAGACTTTGTCCGTGAGTATGTCTCCCGCTCAATTTTTCACTGCCCCACACTAACGAGCCCACCTTCCTCCTGTCCACCACGCTCCGCGCTGTTCATTCCGAGGTCACCGACGCTCTTCGCCTTACCACCTCCAGAGACACTTCTCAACAGTTTACCTGCCATTCAATCTGTGGGCGCTCCTGTCACCTGCTCACAACCTATGCAGTCTGTAGCGGTGCAATTCACATCTGCTCAGACCATGAGCATACTTCCGCAGCCTCCGTACACCCCGCACTCATA